TGGGGAAGTTTGAGTGATTGGGATATATACTATATCAATCATACACCTGGTAGCACAAAAATGAAAGCACATCGGTCACTTGGATTGGAACTTAAAGTTCTTCTAAAAAGGCTTTCAAAAACAAGCTATGGTTATTATAAGGCAATTGAATTACAAAAGCTCTTGAAGGTCAGATTTTTCTTCAGCCATTATTTTAGGGACACCAATATCATGCACGCCCTGCAATTGCTAATTGAGTGACTTTGTCGCAGAAAGCAAAATGTTTCTTTGCTTGAAGTGGGCAGAAAGCAAAATGTTCTTTGCTTTATAGGGCCTTCAGGCCCAATATGCTTGGTGGTTCCATTGATATTCGCCTATAATCGCACCCTGCAATTGCTAATTGAGCGACTTTGTCGCATAGGGCAAAATGTTTCTTTGCTTGAAGTGGGCAGAAAGCAAAATGTTTCTTTGCTTGAAGTTACAATTTGGGATTTTCAGATCTGGTTGTAACATGCATGGTTAGGCAAGCTACCAACCGCGATCATCTAATACAACAATTATTTGCGCATACTCACAAATAACTGTTATATTTTTTTTGAAGGATTGTCATAACGATCCAGTGAATATAGAATTGTGGCAAGAACACTCTACAAAATTAGGAAGGCTAGCTGTTGAAAATCGAATGAACAAAGTATGTAATGTTTTTGACTTTATTACCATGGAAGACTCTGATATAACCTTTTCTTTAAATGGCTGCCATTAGCGTGAGATCTTAACTGTTGGAATACGTGCTGCAACTATTGCAGTGGCAACCGAGTTTCCCAAAGAAAAAACCAAGGAAGAAAAAATACAAGAGAAATTCTGGACAGTAGACGATTTTGATGATAACAAGGAGAATGATTATGAGCCAGATGACGCTGATGAAAAGATTGTCACAACATCAAACACATCCTTATGTAATCCAACTGATGATGATGAATTCACTATGCAAGACAAGGAATTGTTTATGCAACGGTAAGAACCTTTTTTTGCTCTTATGCAAGTATTGACTATGTAGATATCACTTAACTGTCACCTAATATATAGATTTGAGACCATGAAAAATGAGAAAAAATGGAAGCTCAAGACAGGGATATATGTGGAAGATATCTTGTATGATTTGGGAAAGAAATCTAAATTTCACAAGTGAGAGAGAGCCATGTTACATATAATGGTACTTTTATTATGCATAATTGCTTACTGACCTAAATTTCATTCATATTCTAGCCTCATCCATTCCTTTATTGTTGATCCTGAGGACAAATTTCTGCAATCGGGATTTACCACTGATGAACTTACAGAGATCTGCGAAACAATGACCGTGCAAGAAGCACCTCAAATAGAAGGTGAACTATTGGAATATATTGATACCTTTGCAAAGGTAAATTGTCAGGGTGTTGCCATTTCAAACCTCTATAATTTTATAACAGAAGTTAATTCTCTGTATATAGACCTCCACGAAAGACATACGTGAAGCACTATATGCTTCTCACCCCAGACTTTGTCATGATTATAATCCTCTCGTCAATTTCGCTTATGAACATGTGAGGACAACAGTTACTGATTGGTAAGTGACAAGAAAAGTTCTCGTAGCTCATATGTAATGTTAATAAATGAATATTATGTAGGGTCCGTTTGTTAGAAATGCACCCAAACCCGCTTACACAACAAGATTTACCAGAAAGTTGGTTTCGGATTAATGTCTGGAGAACCGTCGACATTGCTTTCTCAGATACGCCTTTTGTATTTTTCGTTGGGTGAGTAAAAGAGTAACTATACATAATTGCCATCCATTACTTTATAATTAATTTTACTTTTCCTGAAAAAATGACAGAGGAGAAAAAGCAGGATTGGCAAGCACAGAAAGGAAAAACCGTGGTAGAACTTTGAATAATATACATTGAATGCGATGAAAGAAGATTAGAAAGAAAGATGATGGTTACGTACAAACATTTGGCTTGAGACCAATCAAATGGGCAGCATCTGAGGCTGGATCTAAATGGGAGGGTGAACAAGGTACAAAACTCATAAAGGAACATGGTTTGAGTTTGCCAAAAACTTTGAAAGACATCTTCATATCTCTTGCACATAAGGTTAACTTTTCTGAAGAGAAGATACGCAAGATTAATGTTCCAGGATTTGTTCATTCAGGTTTGCATTGTATAAATTGTACTTTCTGAATAAGACTTGATCAAAATTCTAACATTCAGGATTTTTGAAGGTGCCATCTTAATTAAGACAAACCTCGATTGTCCAAAGGGATATGCATGCTGATATATGAGGGAAGAACCATGTGAGATATATGCAGATATCACACAATTTAGTAATACGTTGGATGCTCTAGTTACCATCATTTATGCCAAGGTAAAGAAGTCTCATATACTTGTTTTTACTTTTTAAATTTCACAAGTTGATTTTATTCTTCTCTTGTAGCTCGAAATTTTGCAAACAATGAGGATTGTTAATGACACGAAGATTAATGACAATCTGAGCAGGTGGAAGAATCCACAAAAAGTTCAAAAAACCGATATTCCCGATTGTCATCACACACCCAAAAAAAGAAAACACAAAAATATAAGTTTTTGATTATACTCAATGATTTCAGACAGCTTTATTGTATGTGATATTGGTGTGCCAAGTCAAAAAAATAAAGATATATTTCTTGGAATAATGATATGTAAATCAAAACTTTTATTAGAACAATCCAATTTCCTTCAAGAGTTTCTGGATCTCCTCTATGAAGGAATTTATTATACTTTGATAGCCAAGATATATCAAGTTCTGATCTTTTGGGTTAAAGATGGAAACTTGTATGAAATTCTAAAATTTCATGCGTTTTATGCAATGCTTTTTTTTTTTTTCCAGAACATTGTATACATATTTAAAAAAGGTGTCTAAATTTCAGTATATTGCCTTCATTATCACTACAACTGCTTTCTTTGCTATTTTCTATCCTAATGCTTTCATCATCAATATCCTTACATCATGACTACCATCATTTTCATCATTTTCGTTTCCATTATTTCTATCAATGGCTGTATCATCTTTTTTTAACGACGTGACATAAAAAATCATATTAGTATATAGATTAATAAAACCAATTAATTTAAGAGATTTGAGAAACTCTAAATTATTAACCTCCTGTTTTTTGTTTTTTTTAAATAATAGAAATAAATAAATAAAACGAAAACTGTTTTAGTTTCCACCATGCTAAATAATATATAGTAAGAAAAAAAATCTTAATAAAATAAATCAACCTAAGAGATTTGAGAAAACTTCTTATCTTCTAATGAATTCAAAAAAAAAATCTTTGTTCTCATTAACAATCAAATTCATGAATCGAAAGTAAAAAAATTTGACTAATCGCGAAAGGATAAAGATAGATAAATAAGTCTGCTACCTTAACTTTTTCTTTTATTTTTACTATTTTCACCGATTAAATTTGGGAGAGCGTATTTTTAATTGGTGATAACAATTATTTTTGTTTTGTGTGGATCAGAATGAATAGGTTATTAACGAATTAATTTTGTTATTAGCGAATAATTTTGGGTAAAGAAGATAATACACATACAAACTCGATAAGTCGGCCGCATAATTTATATTATCGAGTACTTTAAACAATTGATTACTGCGGGCCGA